GGGAAGGTCTTCTACAGAGTCCCCCCAAACACAGCTCCTCCAGCCTCAACTAACTACCTATCACTTACAACTATAAAACAGAAAAGGGGGAGATGTGGGAGCAGCTGGAACTGGATATTGATTGTGTGCAGGGCAGAAGCAAGGCCAGCCTCAAGAACGGAGAGTGCCTGAGGCAAGTCACGTGGATAAACTGCTCCAGTCTCAAGAATTCAGGGTGCCTGAGACAAGCCATGTAGATAAACTATTAGGGGAGAGGTTTCACATTATACCCCCAAGTGCATAAATAAATGTGCTGCAGCTGTTGGAGCTCTTGCTCTTCCTTCTCTTCCTCCTCCTCTTCTTCCTCCTCCTCCTCCTCCTCCTCCTCCTCCTTCTTCTCTTCTTCCTCCTCCTCCTTCCCTCCTTCAGTCAGAAGAGAGGGCTCCATTCAGGCTCAGTTTTCTGTATTCCAATTCTTATCCTTTTTCCTCCATCCTCTCACCATCCCCTCCTTGGAAACATGGAGAGCTGCGCGGAACAGGGCATTGTTTATGACACCTAAGGGAAGGATGCACGTAGCACTCTAGGGTTAATGTTTAAAGGGGCAGGGAAGTAAAGAGAAATTCATCCTAGAAATTTCCTCAAGTCCTGCTCCACCTTTGTAGCACTGGGGATTGAACCGAGGGCTTCCCACTGAGCTACATCTAAACTCTTTATTTTATTTATTTATTTTTAAGTTTTTTGGTTTTTGAGACAGGGTCTTGCTTTGTACAGCTGGCCTCAAGTCATAGCAATTCTCCAGTTTCAGCTTCCCAAGTGCTAGGATTACAGGTATGTCCCTCCATGCCTGGCCTATTATTTTCTGAGAGAGGGTATCCCTAAATGACTAAGATACCTAGGCTATATTTGAACTTTAGATCTTTCAGTCTCAGCCTCCAGAGTGCTGGAGTTACAGGCATATGCCACCATGCCCTGTACCAAGCTTGATTTGAATGAATATTTTCCGCCTTGAAAAAAAATTTAAGCTTACCTCCTACAGGAAATCTAAATTTTTGAGATTTTCTCCCCTCCCAACAGAAGGTGGAACCTTGGAATAGTATATGTAAACTCTTCTAGTTTTTCATTTTAGCTGCCTGAAGGTATGACAGGCATGAAGTCCTGCAACAGGGTAAATCTTCTGGCCTTGATCACCGCAGTCCTCCTGACTCGGTCTCCTAACTGCGAGATTACAGCTGCACACTCCCTTGCGTGTGTGGCATCTTTCTTTGGGAGGCGGTGCTGGGAGGAGCTCAAATGCTTTGTGTGCTCTGCCATTCAGTTCCTATCTTGACGCTGGTCCTGAAGTTCCGCTCCCATGTAGTCTCTCCTGAGATAGTTAAATCACCCCTATTCCCTTCCAGCTTTGTACAAAAGAAAACAATGACTACATAACAACAATGCCAGGACATCTCTTACTTCCCAAGGGAATCATAAAAAAAAAAAAAAAAAATGAATTCTTATCTGGGTAAAATGAGTTGAGAGCTTTAATAGATTCCAAAATGTGTGGTAATACCCAAGCATTAGACAGGAAATAATGACTAACTAACAAAACTTTGGCTTCTGATTTTTCAGTTAACAGCAAAGATGTTTCAACTATAATTGCTCTGAGTATTTTTAAATTGTTTTGCAAAGACTTCTTCTGGCACCCAGACTTAATCTAAAAATATACAATGTACTCTTGGGGCTGGTTATCCAAGATGTAGGCCCTGGGTTCAATCTCTAATACCAGTCAGTCAGGCTGGGTGTGTTGTGGAATGCCTGTAATCTCAGTAGTTGAGAGGCTAAAGCAGGAAGATATCCATGAGTTCAAGACCAGCCTGGGCTACAGAGTGAATTGAAGGCCAGCCTGAACTGCATAGCAAGATCCTGTCCAAAAAAGAAACCCCCAAAAAACACCCCGAACAGTAGGGCAAAGGGAAAGGGTAGTCTTGACCTTTTACACATCTGTATCATCTGCAAACTCCCCTCAGGGCCCCTGTCCATTCCCTGCAAAGAGCAGAAAATTGAACTGCCTTATATGTGTGACATTCTCAGACTCAGTTTGGAATCTCTGATTCTTTTCTGCCCCCAAAACTCTTATAACACCAAATGTGTGCCAAATATGTGTGAATTTTGTCCATGTCAGCCCATGCTGCATGCCAGCTGGGTGTGCAGTGTCATTTGATTCTGGCACTCCCTGGAGTTAGCATCACACAGGGAAGGGCTTCCCACAGAGGAAGGGCTTGGTCTGAGACCACATGCACTCACTGGAGCGAGTCCTCCACTGGTGGTACTTCTGAATGACTGGCTGAATGTTTGGGGTTCCCGCATCCCCCTCCTCAGGTTCAACAGTTTGCTAGAACAAACAGTTCCTAGAGCTCAGGAAAGCACTTAAATCGGTTTAGTACAAAGAATAAAATAAAGGGATAGAAAGGGTAAGATCTAGAGCTGAGAGTGGTGGTAGACATCTGTAATACTCAGTACTCAGGAGGCTGAGGCAGGAGGACTGCAAGTTCAAACCCAGCCTGAGCAATTTAGCAAGACCCTGTCTCAAACTAAAAAATTTTAAAAGGGGTAGGGATTAGCTTGGTGCAGAGACCCTGAGTTCAGTCCCCCGGTACCAAAATAAAAAACCAAACCAAAATAAAACACAAAAAGAACAAAATGATGTGGGTGTGATGTACACCTATAGTCCCAGTACTTGAGAGGCTGAAGCAGGAGGATCACAAGTTTGAGGCCAGTTTGGGTTAATAGTGAGTTCAGGGCCAAAGTGAACTACACGGTGAAATCCTGTCTCAAAAACACCAAAACACTTTCCACCCATAAAAGTTTCCCAGGGTGGAAAGGTGTCCATGTTTCTTGCAGGCACCTGCATTCACTAGCCAGGGTGCTTATGGAGTCTTGGGGTTCAGGGAGTCTTTACAGGACAGGACTTCCCACACCACTGCCCATTTGCTGTTCAGCGTGGAGGCTTTGTTTTCTATTCACTGGGATGGTTCTGAATAATACCAGTCAAGGCTTTAGGAACTCTTCCAAGATCCCAGGACAAAGACTAAATATATTTTCCTGTAGAAAATGAAATTCTTTTTTTATCAGCCTTTCTTTGTTTTGCTTGTGAAAGACTTACCCCAAGTCATAGTCAAACTCGCAAAAATTCCTGTAAATGGGTTTCTCAAAGCCCAGTAATGATAGCACAATGGTGTATGAAGCAAATCTCAGTTACTTAGAAGAGTCACAAGTTCAAGGGCAATTTAGTGAGACCCTGTCTCAAAATGAAAACTTACGACTTGAGTACTTGCTTGGGTATTTGGACCTGTCACAGTGGAATGAACATAGACCAGAGGTGCAGCCTGGAACTAGCCTGGAAGGTGACATTTCTAATCTGCTTTTCACTGCTAGTTAACACCAGACCAGGTATGGAGACACCTGGGGGTGGGAACGGGCGGGGGGGGGGGGGCTGGTGGTGGTAGTGGTGGTGGTGGTGGTGATGCATGCCTAATCTGTAATCGTACTTAGTGCATGTGGTGGGCCCAGGCAGTTGGGTTTCCTGGTAGCGCTTTGCAGGTCACAAATGCTGCTTCTCAGCTCTCTAACAATTAGTACCATCTGGGAGGCCACAGGTGGGGGGCCATCCTGCAGCTCTGCTTCTCCCGCCTGAAACAGTTTGGGGCCTGGAGCTTCACAGTGCTCTCAGGGGGCTCTTGCTGAGACCCTGAGGTGACAGCCCTACCCAGGGTCACTAGGGAAGTCCCCTTCTAGTTGCTTCACCCCTGCTGGAGTTTGCACCTCTGAGGGCCTGGGCTGCAGGCATCACAGCTGTGATGGGCGTGGGCACCTATAGAGCACCTACAGATTGCCGTGGTGGCCTCCATCTCATGTCCCTGAGTTTCCTTTGTGCGAGCTGCTGGGAAGCCATTCCCAAACCATAGACAAAGGCCTCTGCCTTGCAGAGCTTGAAAACAAGTAACTGCAGGTCATGACAAATAAAACTCGAGTCTCTTCCTCCTCTGAGGAGATGGGATGGCCTAGGACAGTGAGGGCAAAACTTTTAGAGCTTTCAGTGTTGCAAACAACCCACTACAGCACAAATACTATAGTTCACCACTGGCCTAGGACAAAAAACCAGCAACTAAAGAGAAGGAAGGGGAGGGGGGTGCAGAGTTGGGAGATGAGGGACTGGCAGTGAGTGGATTCTTAATGAGGTGTTCAGGGACAGTGGTTCCAAGGAAGAGAACCCTGAGCAGGCATGGGGACAGGCAAGGATCGCAGGCGTCTGGTGCATTCTGGGAACAGAGTGGCCTTGAGGAAAACTACTTGGAGTGATGCAGGGACCACTAGAGGCTCTGAGTAGGACAGGAATGTGATTGGCTGGGGTTTAACAGGGTGGCTTTGCTGTGGAGTTGAGACGTGACTGCCCTGGGTCCAGGCAGAGGTGGCAGCAGTGTGTGGAGGGGGTGAGGGAGTTCAGTCTGGGTAAGATTTGACATCAGAGCCAAGGGATGAGGTCTAGGGATGAGGTGGGGATGAAAACCAAAGATCAAGCCAGGAGCAATGATGCATGCCTAATCTGTAATCATAGTACTTAGGAGGCTGAGCAGGAGGATCATGAATGAGACTATGTATTTATCAAGACCTTGTCCCCAAAACAAAAACAACAAGAGACCCCATTTCTTTTTTTTTAATCGGTACCAGGGATTGAACTCACGTCTGCACGCTTGCAAGGCAGGCGCTTATGCCGTTGAGTTAAATCCCCAGCCCCTCAGAGACCCTATTTCAAGATCACTGTGACGCAGGTCATACCCTGGAGGCTGAGGGAGACCTTGTCTTCAATGATTTTAATTGCTGAACTACAGGCTGAATGCCTGCCTTGTTTAACACCAAAGCCTCTGCTGGGTCCAGCTAGGAATTGGTGAACCAAGCAGAAAATTCCAGGGCACAGGCTGCTGCAGGCTACAGTCTGGAGGGAACTGCAGCCACAGCCTGGCAGAGGGGTCCAAGTTACTGGTGGCCATGTTTGTAGCTGCAGCCCTGGTGTGGCTGGGCTGGAACAGGTGGGCCCGGCAGAGGACAGAGTGGGCAAGAGACCCCAGCTTGGCTCCAGAGGGAGCCCCTGGGTGCTGCCCACCTGGCCTCAGCACCTCCAGTGAAGATGTTCATGCTGAACGCCAACCTGCCTCCCTAGGAAGTGTCCTGGTCTCAGAGATACTGGGCCCTGACTCACAGGTAAGGAGCAGAGGAACCTGACTGTATCAATGGTTTATGTGGATTTTAAATAACATTTTCCAGGGTGGAGTAGGGAGGTTTTCCTTTAGGCCCCACAAACATGTCAGAAGTGAAAGAGCTAACTGTAGGGGCTTTTTGTTGTTTTGGGGTTTGGCCTTGAACTTGCTATGTAGCCTAGGTTGGCCTCCAACTTGTAATTCTTTTGCCTCAGCCCCCCAAGTGCTGGGATTATAAGTGTGCACCCAGTGAGTCTGCTCCATACCTCAGAAGCTCCTGCTAATCACCTCCATGCACCCCATGCTTAGCAGGTGCATCTAATGACTGGTCTCTGCACTGCCAGGGTCAAGTTCAGAACTCAATTCTGTCGATTTTATTAATGAGCCAAGGCCTTTTGCCTGCCTTGTGCTGTGCCTATCACTGAAATTATGAGTTTTGAATTTTGCAAGAGAGTTTCACAGGGTGGCCAAACGTGCAGATGGGAGAGCTAGCCCCAATCTGTCTTCCTGAGGACAGGATTTAAGGTTATTTATGGGGTAAAGACATAGCTCAGAAACTGGATATGGTGGTACAAACCTGTAATTTCAGCACTAAGGAGGCTGAGACACAAGAATCCAGCATTCAGGCCAGCCCGAGGTACTTAGTGAGACCCTGAACACAAAGTGGGTTGCCTGAGGTGTGGGGAGAGGTGACCAGAAGTAAAGGACAGTAATGGAATCGGTATTTACACACGCTCTTTACAGGATGCCTGAAAATCAAGGGTAATCTGAGGATGGCATTTTGGTCCTCTGATGGCCAAAGGGGTCACCCCTGGATACTGGCAACCCTGCATAGGACCAAGTGAAGGGTTGGTGGTTTCAGCTTGGTACTAGGGGCTGAACCCAGGTCTTTCACTCTGAGCTACATTCCTGCTTTTTTTTATTTTGAGATAAGATTTTGTTGTTACTCAATTGCCCGGATTGCGCTCGAATCTATAATCCTCCTGCCTCAGTTAAAATTACAAGTATATGCCACAATGGCCTGGTTGTGATTAAGTAATTACTGAACAGAATTATGGAATTGAATTTGTGTGCGTCTGTGTGGTGGTGAGGATCAAAACAGGAACCTCACACAAGCTACGCAGGTGCTCTATCATTGAGCTACTTCCCTTGCCTGAAACTGAGTTAATTTTTTTTTTTGGAGGGGTCTTGTTTGAGACAGGGTTTCACTATATGGTTCAGGCTGGCCTTGAACTCACTTTGTACCCCAAGCTGGTCTCGAACTCACAGCGATCCTCCTGCTTTAGCTTCCCAAGTGCTGAGTTTACAGGCCTGCTCCACTGCCCCTGTTTTGAAACTGAATTCTTCAGTTGTCACTGAATGATTTTTATTGCTATCAGTGTTCTTGCTGATGACATGGTAGTACCTGAAATAGGGACTGGATGTCAGATTTTGAGGAATTCCAGCCTTGCCGCGAATTCCTCCCAAGTTTGTTACCTTGCTCTGCTTGATGAATCAACTTCTCCCTCCGCAATACCCGCTGGAATGTTGCTGCTGCTTGGTCCAAGTCCAGGGGGGTCTGACCCTGAGAGGTCGCCTTGGTTAGTCCCCTCCGAGATTGCATTCCTCATGGTGGAGGCAGACAGGAAATGAGATAATTTCAAAGATAAGAACTGGGGTGTGATGGGATTTAAAGAGAGAAGAGATGGGCGTGGTCAGGGAGGGCTTCTCTGAGGAAGCAGCCTTTAAAAGGGGTGAGCTCGGATGGTGGCCTGGCCAGAGATGAGCTCTGTGTCCTAGTGGATGGTGGTCTGGCCAGAGAAAGGAACATGGAGAAGGGAACAAGCAGAGCAGAGGCTTTGAGACGGGCAGAGCCTGCCCTGGCCCCTCCCTCTGACCCACATGGAGAAGTGTCAGACTTGAGGGGAGGCTCATTCTTCGGCTGGACAGAGCAACGCAACAGCCCCAGCAGGACCTCAAAGGCCACGGTAAAGAGTTTGGGGTTTATGCTCATGTCATCAGGGGCTCCTCCTTGGGTGCAGTGAGTCATGAGTGTTGCATTCAGCCAGGTCCTCCCTGACTACCCTACCTGGGGTCAAAAGCCCTTAGGTAAAGAGCCAGGATGAATTCAACCACCCACCTGCAGCCTCAGGTCCTCCTTCCTTGAGTTATTTTTCCTCATAGTTCTGACTGTCCATTACCACACACTCCATTTCACTCTGATTTTGTCTACTGTCTTCTCCCCATGGGGAACATGGATCGTGCAAGTGCTGGGATAGCTCTGGCTGGAGTAGGGGAGCCAATATGTGTGGAAGGAAAGCTGGGAGAAAGTGGCCTGGTTTGAGTGGTGCTTTCCATGGCTCTCAGCAGCCTAGACAGAGGGCACTGGGCAGGGCAGTGGGGCTGACATCTGGGCTGTCTGTCCTGCAACCAGAGCCCCTGGACTTGTGGGGCTTGAGAAGGAATTCGCCAGAGGTGATGTCTTTTCTTGCAGCAGGTTTTGAAAGCAGTATTTACTGTGAGTAGGAAGGTTGGTGGGGAATAAAGAGAGCCAGGAAGGCACCATCCAATTCTATTAGAGTGGCGTTGTCAATGGAGAAAGGAGGTAACAAAAGCAAAGTACTTAGAATACTAAAAGTGTCAAACTGACAAATATGTATTGCCCGAGCATGACAAATTTTTAAATTAGAAAAAACCCTTAAACCTGGATCTAAGCAAGTCTGTGTAAATACACCTAACACTGAATTTAAGTACAAACACTGAATAATAATGTTAATCAAAATGTTAATCAATAATGTTAGTCAATGATATTATAATATCAAGTCACAAGTATAAAATAAAAAGAGGCTGATAATGGGGGAGGAGCCCACATTTATAGTCCCCCCCAGGGGGAAGCATTTCAGTTACTGAGACATTTATAAATAATTTTTAATTTTTAAATTTTTTAAATTAAATATTTTTGGTGCTGAGGATTGATCCCAGAGCATCATACTTGCTAAGCATTTGCTCTACCATAATCCTTAGTCTTTTTGGGGAGAGGATACTGCCACTCAAAATGAGGGTCACCTCCCAGAGTGTTCTTCTGTACTTTTAGGAAGAGGCCCTGTGTCCTCGAGCCCCTTCTCCTTGCATTTCTCAGGCACTGGTTACTCCAAATCAGCTTTCGATGTAGAGCTGAATGCAGCTGTTCTTGGCAATGCCTTCGGTTGTTTGGTTTTCACACTCACAGAAGATGCCAGATTTTTATAAGTGACAGAAGAGGCAGAAGTGACGACAGGGAAAAACCTGGGAAGACCTGCGTTAAGCAAAGCTCTTTAGCCTTTGAGGCAATTCAGGCTGACATTGGAGTCCTTCTTTTCTCATAGTGAAGTCCCCAAATCAGTATCTTTTCCACCTAAAATATTTTTTCTGTCTTTGCAAAAATAATTTGTTTCCCCATGGAGCTGGGCCTTCTGATCACCATCTTGTCTACACGCCCTGGGTCACAGACCCGCACAGGTCCTTGCCCTTATGAGAAACCGCCGTGGACAAGTGCAGGTGGGGCTGAAGCAGGTGCTTGTCTACGAGCTTCTGAGCTGTGTTTAGTATTCCATGAGCGTTGTCCTCCAGAACCACGTGGCTGTGAGGACCCTGCCAGGGCTGCATCTCATACTGCAGCAGAGCTCAGGAGCCCTGAGTTCTGCATGCCCGTGGCTGCCCGGAGGTTTGCAGCTGGCATGGCAGCTGCCTTGCAGGTAAACCCAGGCTCACTTTTGTCCATGGATGAGCTTGCGGAGGCTGCTTGCTCCCCAGTTTTTCTGCTCCTTGTCTTTTGGCAGCAGATTTGCTGGCAATATGTGGTCTGGCACAGAAAAATGATCAAATTGAGGTCCTGCATTCTTGATGGATTTGAGCTATGCTGCCACCTCACCCCATGTACCTGGCTGGCTAAGGAAGCCAGTGTGGAACAGCCCACCCATGTCACTGGGCTGCGCTCTGCAGGTCCCCTCCATCTGAGCCTCAGCATCAGGTCCATGCAGCCTGCAAGTGCAGGAAGATCAGCATCTCACCATCGAGTGCGTGGTAGTGTTGGCCCTGCAGGCAGGGGGAGCTGTGTGCCGGGACTGTCAAATACCCCAGCTCCCAGGCCTAGTCTGAGAGGGTAGCAATCATTCCCTCAGCAACGAACACCTGCAGGGGGAAACGGGGACACCCTCATGCTCACCGCTCCCTGAGGGTGGAAATCTGCCCCACCTGCCCAGAACAAATGCTGGGGAAATGAAAATGTCAATTAAGCGGTTGCTGTAGCAACCCGATCGCCCGCCGTTTGCTGCTCTGTTTTCAGCGCAGTGCTGGTCTCTTCTATTGAGTGGATGAATTCCTTAGTTGCTCTCCTCACCAACGCTGACACTCATTGGCAACACACACACTACGTTCTGGATAGTGAGCACTGACGGAGTGATAATGTTTCCTTACAGGGCTGGGGTGAGAGCCAGGAGAAGGCTTTTGGATTGAGAGTATCCATTTTTGTTTTCATGATGTGCCTTTTTGGGGTCTTATGAAAAACTCTACCATTACTTTCCTTTTTGACCTTTGATGAACTGTGTGTGTGTGTGTGTATGTGTGTGTGTGGTAATGGGAATCAAACCCAGGGCTTCCTATGGCAGTACATCCCCAGTCCTTTCCTTTTTCTCTTTGAGACAGGGTCTCAGTGAATCTCTAAATTGCCTATCCTGGCCTCAAACTTGCAGTCTTCCTGCCTCAGCCTCTCAGAGTGCTAGAATTACAGGCCTGTGCCTCCACACCTGGTGAGCCAGATGTTTAGGCCTCTATCAGGGGAAAATCTTGCTCTTAGCCCTGCCGCCAGGTCTGATAAAATCAAGGAGAAAATGACTGTCCGAAGCTTTGAGGTCCTGCACAGGGTAACCTGAAGTCAGGTTCTAGCTGGAGGGGGACTTTCGCTTACAGTCCAGCACTTCCTGGGTTTGGAGAGAGGGCCTAGAGCTGGCTTTTGTGTGTGTGTGTGTGTGTGTGTGTGTGTGTGTG